CGTGCAGGTGCCACATTTTTTGGCAGAATGATGAACGACCATAAGGAACAATGTCGTGCAGTATGACACGTTCATCTAGGCAGTTTTCTTCTATTGAACAGTCGTGCCTTGATAGTGCACAGTTGTACAACTTGAAAAATCTGTTTACGCACAATCATACCACCTGACAAGTCTGTTTTGGTTTGGTTATGACTTGTGCCATACCTTAGCATGTTTTGGTTAGTAATCAGTCAACTTTTTGGATAGTTATGGCACATCAAAACACATGAGAGGTCAATAGTAAATAATGCCTTTTATTAATAGAATAACATGATACATCGAGTCACATTACAAAATGTTATTAGCTCTAGGGCACATACTCTAACAAATAATAATGAGTGAGCATTTGGTTTGGGGTCATAAAAGACAACACTAGTAATCATCTTTTAATTTGGCAATTACCACGTTTGGGTGTTAAGTAATAAAAGATTCCGATAATAGACCAATACCAATAGTAATTACTATAGGTAATATACGAGGTAATTCGATTACCATCTAAAAGTGTGTTTTTTTTTATTACCAAGGTAATCCACTATTCATACCAAATTTACCCTTAATTAATAAACATTTTGGATACAAATGCCCTCATATGTCTACTAGATAACAATTAGCCCAAATGTGCAACATGTCTTCTGTAACCTCATATATTAATTTTTTGGAAAGAAATACCCTCACTATTTAGATGAATAGTACCCTAAGCCACCAAAGACGACTATTGGCCGTCGGCCGAATCTAGCCGCCTATGAGCTGAATTGGCCGTTTCTGGTCAGATTGAAGGTTGAAAAAGGCCAGATGGTCGTGGATCTGGCCAAAACAGCTAGATCAATGCACGGTCAACTAGGTCTGGTGGGTTGTGTGCCGTTCTGGCGACTGTCGGAGACAACCGACAGTGGTGGTTGGCAGTCAGCAGTCGTCTTGAGTGGCTGAGTGTATTTTGTTAAATTTTAAATTTTTGTTGTATGAATGTTTTAGCTAAATTCTCAAATATAGGGGTTTAAAAGTAATGCTCTTAATAATAATAATAATAATAATATTAAAAAGGATGAGTAATTCAATAATATTTAATTCCTCTCAACCAAATATATTAATTATTTATAATCACCAATCTAACAAAACATATTAATAGAACATTCTCTCATTAATCTTTAAGATAATTTATCTCAATAGTAATTTATCTCTGTAAAAGTAATAAAAGATGGTATTACTTCAATGATATGATATTAACTCCAACCAAACTCCCTTGGTATTTGATTATTTATTCTTGGTTAATCACAAGTCATAAATCCACTCATTGAATGCCACGTAGCATTAGCACATGCTTTTTGTCTTTTTGACGAAAACTGTAATTTTATACAATTGCCAATCATGGAAATCGTTGACTTCTATTTAAGCGTGCAACTACGTAACGATATATAATAAAAATAATTCAAGAAGGATTTATTATTATCATTCAGTGTCGTACTTGCTCCCTATATCATAGCCGTACATCAACCATCAACTCTCAATCTGGGGCATTTGGTTTAGTTCCTCGGTTTTCCTTCATTTTTTTTTAGTGATGAGTAAAATCTTTATTTTACAAAAACAACAAATATTCGAAGGTTTAATTACACCCTCGTGAGATATCAAAGTCTGAAATAGCACAATAATTATTTAAACAATAAATTAAATGTACAAATAAATTTTACAAAGATTTTTATACAAATTGATGTGAGAGAAAATAAATAAGAGAATGAATACAAAAAGTTAAACTCGACATATTCACTTTTCTATTTATTTTTTATAATATCAGTTTACATAAAAAAATTTATAAGATTTATTTGTACTTCTAATATTACTTTTATCACTTGAGATTTTGTATCTAAAAAAAGTGATATTAATTAAGGATAAAATTATTGATTGATAATTAATGTAAAACAATGTTTCATTTAATTTTGTTCCAAAAGTTAAAGAACAACTCTAATAATTCGACATAGAAAAAGTGTTTGTTTTGAAAAGTTTTAAAAATGATTATTATAATATAGTTATTCTGCAATCAACTTTTGCATTAAATTTAAAAATAGGTGTGAAGTATTTCGCAAACTATTCCGTTTGTTTCACTCATTCCCATTATCCTATTCCACTATTATATCCTAAAAACCAAAAAATGTATTTGTTTCAATATTCTCAAAATTCAATCATATTCTATTCAATTTAAAATATTTAGATTGTTTTTAATCCTCTAGGTTTGTTAATTTAACTAAACATCCTCAACAATAAAAATTTATAAACTGATAAAAATACCCACACCTACCCACATTTGCCAGATTCCGGCCATCACCACTAGAAGGTAGTCGGAATCTGCAGTAATAGCGCACTACCGACTGAATCTAGTCGGCAGTGCACCAATATAGTCTTTCTTGGCTAGATCTACGCTATTGATGACGGCCAGACATGTGGCTGTAGATATGGGTGAGAAAAGCCAGATCGGTGTACTACTAGCCAGATCTAGCTAGTAGTGCGCTATTACGGTAGATTCCAACCACCTTCCGACAGTTGTGGTCGGAATCTGACAAATGTGAGTGGGTGGAGGCGTTTTTATCAATTTATAAATTTTTATTGTTGGAGGTGTTTAGTTAAATTAACAAGCTTAGGGGGTTAAAATAATCTACATATTTTCAGAAAATGATATTAAAAAATGTACAAAAAACTTCTCAATACTACTTAACTCAACTTTTTCTAAAAGACTATTATAAAAACAGCCAAAATAGTGAACCCAACTGACTTGACTATTGGGAATATGATTATAAATTAACAAAGAACAAAAGACTACATTACAGAAATAATTTGCACTCTGAAATCATCTTAAACTATTAAGTTAAATAAAAATAAGATTATTTCAACTATTAGATCATATTATAACTCGTGGTGGATTCCAGAATTTATATGGGATGTTTGTTTTATGATTTCAATTTTACATTTCTCAAATTATTATCTACGGAATTGCAAAATAAGTGTTCAATTGACATTTTCATTTCATTTGTTTTTAATGCAATATAATGTCTATGTCTATCCAGTAATGTTTTAAAAAAAAAAAAAAAAAAAAAAGTTCTACAGTGTTCTTTGCTTTTTTGTTTTTTTATAATAAATTTAGGAGGCAAAATAAATAAAAATCACAAAACTTCTAATTTTCTCTCTCTCCAATTGTAAATGAATGTCAACTTACAAATTACAATTTGTATGAATGTTTCCAACAGCATGTCACATGGAAATTCATCTGGCATTTTCATAAACCTATTTCCATTCAAATTTGTCTAACACATCTTCAATATTTGAATACATATAATTTAAATTAATATTTTACAATCTCAAAATACAAAACTAATTCTCAAATGAACGCAACCTAAATGATTTAACTTTAACTAATAAGTTTAACCATGTAAATAACATCAACAAGAGGACGCTTAAAAGGCAAAGATCCATAAATAAATTATACATGAGAGAAATTAAATAGAGCATCAATATTGGTAACTTAGATTCTTAGAACTAGAAGCTTTATTTCTTGTAATTCTTAATTGAAGGTTTTAATTTATTAACTATAATCCAAATGTCACATTATTGGGTTATAGTTATCATTTATGATAAATTCTAGTATGACGTAAGGGTTAATTTCATTTACTTGTAAAATATATATTGTGTGTGTGTGGTCTGCGATATTTTTCAGGGGATCTTTTCGAAATCCAAAATCCCTTGGATGCATGTAACTTAGGCACATTATTGGGTTATTAGTTATCATTATGATAAATTCTAGTATGACGTAAGGGTTAATTTCATTTACTTGTAAAATATATATTGTGTGTGTGTGGTCTGATATTTTTCAGGGGATCTTTTCGAAATCCAAAATCCCTTGATGGATGTAACTTAGGTGTGTAAGTGAATACCATTTAACTTGATGCCAAAAAAAAAAAAAAAAAAAAAAAAAAAAAAAAAAAGAAAAACCTTTAATTCATGGGGTAACTTTATAATTTTTTGAAGTAACTTTATAATTTTTTGAAGAGCTTATATAATTTTCCCTTGTTACATGGCTTAGTGTAAATTCATCTTTTTTTTTTTCAGAAATTATTAATAATACTCCAGTAATTATTAAAAACCGTCTTAAAATTACAAACACTTTTTTTACAAAATTAAAAAACAAACCCGTTTTTGAATAAAAAAATAATGAAATTAAGTATAAATAATCTAGAAGAAAGTAGAAAATCTCTGTGTTTGTTTTATTATTTCTTATCCTATCCAAAATATATATTTGTTTCATTATTCTCAAAATCCAATCATATTCTATTCAACTCAAAATATTTAATTTTTTAACCACATAAGTCTGTTAATTTAACTAAATACCCCCAATGATAAAAATTTATAAATTAACAAAAACACCCTTACTCATCCATTAAATGCTGCAGCTAGCCACCACTATCGGAAAGTGGCCAGAATTTGCTGAAATGGCGTACGACTGGTTGGATCTGACCGATCATGTGCCATTATGGTAACTTTCGACCACCCTCCAACTGTGGCAGCCGATTGTCGGCATTTAATGAATAGGTGGAGATGTTTTTGTTAATTTTTAATATTTTATTATAGGGAGTGTTTAGCTAAATTAACAAACGTAAGAGATGTTTTTATTAATTTGCAAATCCTACCTTGTAATAACAAACTAACTCAATTTTTTCAAAAATACTACTCAAAATAATAAAACAAACACAGCTGAAATTTTGAAGTTGGAAAAATATTTGAGATGTAAAAGTTATAAATTTTAAAATTTTAGCTTTTAAAAGTGAAAAAAATATAAAAAATTAAGGACCGTTAATAAAATCTAACGGTATATGGTACTCCGAACCGCAATTCCTGAAACCTGTTCCCTTAGGCACCGGATCCCAGCTCTATATCTTACAATGAATAAATTGATTTGTATTCAACAATAAACACCACCTTTGTATAAGCACGAATGTAAACATTATCAAGACCCGACACCTCGCCTAAGATTCAGCTCTCAAAGTCTATTTATCATTTTTAGATGTGCGTCTCTGATTTTGATTTACACCTTAATTTCTCCTTTTTCCCCTAATTTTTCGACTTCTTCGTTGATCCAGCCGATTTCATGGGGTCTATGTCCCATCCAACGGTCTCCATCTGTCTCCAACTCACTCTTCTTCAACTTTAAACAAGATCTCCATAGATTTATCGTTTCTCCAAGCCAAAATGAGGGTGGCAAAGTCTCAGGTATGGCAGCCTTGCAAGAAGAAGAGGTCTTGATCGATAGTCAATAACCTCCTTACTCATTAGGGAGAAGAAGAATTGTAAATATTAATATTTTTCAATAATTACAAAAAAGAAAAATATATTATTGGATCGCGATTGTGAGCGAGATGGCTTCTCGCACGAGTGGAACTAGGACACGTGTGGGGAAGTACGAGCTGGGAAGGACTCTCGGAGAAGGAAGCTTTGCGAAGGTGAAGTTTGCTAAGAATTTTGAAACAGGAGAGAATGTTGCTATTAAAATTCTTGACAAAGACAAAGTCCTCAAGCATAAGATGATCGCTCAGGTACTCTATTCATCGATTGTTTCTTGTGTGTATATATATATATATAAGCTTAAATTCTTTTTTTTTTTTTTTGTTTTGTTTAGTTCTTATGATTAATTTTAGGACAATTTCATTGAGCCCTCGAGCAAATTCTCTTATTTTATTTTCTGAAAGTTCTGAAAATTATTAAGGCAAATTCTTGATCTTATTTATTGGTTAGGGTGCATTTTGTATATTAAGCAAAACGTATTTGTAGTTAAATAAGTAGGCTTATCACAAGATTATGCTTCTCAATAAAGCACTATAGGTGCTTTTTGTTTGTGCAGGAAGTTGAGACAGAAATTTCAGGGCCGGTTTGGTTTGTGATTAACTAAGATGTAGTACTTAATAACCTTTGTTATGTATTTGATATAATGTTAAAGATTGTTTTCAATTTTGCAATAGATTTTTAAGATTGTATTTGATAACTACTTATGAAACAATTCTACCCATTTCAACCGAAGGTGTTTTTGTAAAATTTCTTGCATCCCTTTCTTTCAAACATAAAAAATTGTATTTAAGTTGATGAAGTGAATAAAATTATCAAGTTTTTTCCGTGCCTTAGTATCTTATTCTTTGAATTATGAAATGCAATTTGTTTAGCTTTATATATTTTTCATTCTCGCCTTTTTGCAGATTAAACGTGAAATATCAACTATGAAGCTAATTAAACACCCAAATGTCATCCGGATGTATGAGGTTAGAAGGCACTTCTTTATGCTTTTTGTTTAATGACGTCGTATCTGTTTTTTTGTTTTGATATGTTTATTAGACTTGATAGTCTCTGCATTTCTAATAATCAAATATTTGCTCTTTTGTTTTTTGTTTTTTGGTCTCCGTCAATGATGTTCCTTTAGTCATTTCTAGCTGTATTTGTGGTGTAGGTGATGGCAAGCAAGACAAAAATATACATTGTTATAGAATTCGTGACTGGTGGTGAACTTTTTGACAAAATTGTAAGTTAATGGTTGCCTTTTGCCTCTTATGGTGAACATCATGCAATTAGAGAGAATGGTCTAAATTGTTTCGGATGATCTTTTGGTAACTGTATTCTTTTGGTTTTGTATGAGCAGGCAAGTAAAGGGAGATTGAAAGAAGATGAAGCTAGGAAGTATTTTCAGCAGTTAATTAATGCTGTGGATTACTGTCATAGTAGAAGTGTTTATCATAGAGACCTAAAGGTGTGAATTTTCATAAAATGTTTTAATGCTGTTGAAGTTCATAATATTCTCAAATATAATGCATCAGAGATGATGAAATAATTTTTATACGTGATTGAAGTGATATTGTGGTTTGTGTGTGACAGCCAGAAAATTTACTGCTAGATGCTAATGGAGTTCTTAAAGTTTCAGATTTTGGACTGAGTGCTCTACCACAGCAAGTTAGAGTAAGTGGGATGGCCCTTGTTTCAACCAAAGTTTATTCAATATCTACGTATGGCAGACATCAGAATCACCATTTTTGTTTTGCCTGTATAGACACACACACACACACTTTGTTTTAGTCTAAATGGTTATTTAGAGATTCATCAGACAGTTTTCCATATTATTTCAAGAACAGATAACTGAACATCTTATATTAGCTTGCTCTTATCATGTAGGAAGATGGTTTACTTCACACAACATGTGGGACACCTAATTATGTTGCTCCCGAGGTATATTAGCTTCTGGTGCAAACTACTATTTCTTTTTTCTTTGGACCTGTTGTTTATCTTTACCATTTTGGTGCTGCCCTTTCTAGGTGATCAATAATAAAGGCTATGATGGAGCTAAGGCAGATCTATGGTCGTGTGGTGTGATACTTTTTGTCTTAATGGCTGGTTACTTGCCTTTTGAAGAATCCAATCTCATGGCTCTGTATAAAAAGGTAATTCTTTCGTTCTCTTTTCTCTGAATGCAAGATTTGTTTATTGAATTAATTTATATTTTACCCATTTACTTTAAATCTTTTGGATATTGTTAGGAACCCAGAAATTTATGAGAGTTTAACAAAGAAAACCAACCCAAATGCAAGACACAATGAATAAACTTCTATAATTCTGTAATAATTTGTACTGATAAATGAAATAACACTCTCTTCAGGAACAAGAAAAGAAAAGCTAAAATAAAAGGATAACACTAGCCATTCAAGGTGCTAGGAACCTCCCACTAAATTCCCATTAAAACATTTTCTCATTACATAGACTTTGCCCAATCTTATACCTAGCCGTCCCTACACTATTCTTTCTTTGGTGCTGCCACGTGGCTACTTTACTAACAACCTCCAATTCACCAAAAGGGTCTAATAACTAATTATTTCCTTTCTTTCTCTTCCTGTAAACTTGTGTGATGGGTCTTGGTGATCTATAAATACCCCCTAGGAGAGTCACCTTGTCCTCGAGGTGAAATTGAGGATACTGATTAGTAATAACATCATAGAGTTCCCATGTCACCTTGAAGGAAGTTTGATCCTTCCATTGAATTAAAACATCCGTAGATCCATCTAAGAGAGTGCGAATTGACAAAATTGATTTAGGTTGAACAATGAGCTCCAGGTCTTCAATTAGGAATTTAGGAAAAGGCTGAATAGACACTGAGTTGTGCAAACTGCGTTTGAGTTAGGATGCATGAAAAATTGGGTGGATGCGAGCTGTTGTAGGCAAAGCAAGTCTATAGGCAACCTCCCCAATTTTCTCCAACACCTCAAAGGGGCCATAACATACGGGTCTTAATTTTTCGTTGAGTTTCTTGACAAGGGATTTGAACTTGTATGGTTGGAGCTTCAAATAAATGAAATCCCCTGGTTGGAAACTCATGTCTCTTTTGTGGTGATCAGCTTACTCCATGTGTCCTTGCGCTACAGTGAGATTATGTTTGAGCTCTTTCAAGAGAGCATTCCTCTCCAATATCTGTTGATTAATATCCTCAACCATAGAAGGTTCTTTTGTAAACTTCAATAGGACAGGTGGTTCCCTCCCATAAACTGCCGGGGCTGATTGATGTTGAAACAATGTAAATATGCCTCAAGACATCTATTGACCACTTTTGTCTGCCCATCTGTTTGTGGATGGTAAGCAGAACTAAATTTAAGAGTAGTGCCAGTTGATTTTAAGAGCTCCTGCCAAAACTGACTCATAAATATCCCATCTCAATCAGACACAATCGATTGAGGAAACCCATGAAGCCTCACAATCTCCTTTATAAAAACCGCAACAACCTCATTGGCATTATAAGGATGACAAAGTAATATGAAATGGCTATATTTCGTTAACCTACTGACCACCACCAATATATTATCATGACCTTGGGCTTTAGGTAAACCTCCATTGAAGTCCATAGTGAGGTCATCAAACACCTAAGTAGGAATTGGTAAGGGTTGCAGGAGTCTTGCAGGTTCCAGTGTTAAGTATTTGTTCAATTGGCATGTAGTCCATTGTGAGGTCATCAAACACCTGAGTAGGAATTGGTAAGGGTGCAGGAGTCCTGCAGGTTTCAGTGTTGAGTGTTTGTTCAATTGGCATGTGGCATAGGCTCTCACAAAATCTTGCACATCTTTTTTATTTCCCTCCCAAAATACTACCCAACTGACCTTTTATAAGTTCTAAAGTATCCAAAATGCCCTCCACTTGGACCACAATGAAATTCTTTAAGCAATCTAGGAATGAATTTGGAGGATTTAGGAATCACTAACCTGCCTTTGTAAAGTAGACAACCATTTCGAAGGAGATAATGTGGCCTATTATTGGTGTTAAATAATAAATCTTGGATAATGATCTTCAACTTAGGATCCTGTTGAGCCTTAGTAGCTAGGTCTTCATATTCATTAAACTGAGCAATTGAAATGGCATTCATCTCCACTCCGTCTCCTCTTTTGGACAAAGCATCAGCTACCTTATTAGAGTTACCAGGATGTTAATGGATTTTAAAGGAATAACCCTTTAATGTCAAAATCCACTTCTATTGTTTCGGGGTCTTGGCTTGCTAATCCATTAGAAACTTAAGACTCTTCTAGTCAGTCTTAATAACAAATTTTCTGCCTAGAAGATAGTGGCTCCATTTATGGACCGCAAACACAATAACCATTAGCTCTCGTTCATGTACTAATTTTTGCCTTGATTGTGGGGAAAAAGCCCTACTAAAAAATGCAATTGGCCTTGCATTTTGCACAAATACAGCCCCCATTCCATGCCTTGAAGCATCTGTTTGCACCTCAAAAGATTGATTAAAATTGGAAATCACCAAAATAGGTACAAAGATCATTGCTTCCTTGAGTTTCTCAAAAGCTTGTTGCACTTCTTCATTCCAAGAAAAAGAATCTTTCTTGAGTAGTTGTGTTAGAGGATATGCAATTGGGCCATACCCTTTAACAAATCTTTGATAATAACCTATCAACCCTAAGAACCCTCTCAAGCTTTTTACACTTCTAGGCACTGGCCAAGATAACATGCACTATGTCTTCTTTGGATCTTCTTCCACTCCCTCGACTGAAATAAGATGTCCCAAGTATTCTAATTTTTTTTGGGCAAATAGGCACTTCTTTCGATTAACCACCAGGTCATGGTTCTTCAGAATCTGTAATGTTTGTCTCAAATTCAACAGATGAGTGACCATGTCAGGGCTGTAAATCAAGATGTCATCGAAGAAGACTAGGATAAACATCCATTGGACAGGCCTAAAAATCTCATTCATGAGAGATTGGAAGGTAGAAGGGGCATATTCGGACTAAAAATTCATAATGTCCCTCATGGGTCCGGAATGTTGTTTTGGCCACATCTTCATCTTATCCTAATCTGGTGATACCCAAATTTTAAGTCCAGCTTAGGAAAAATAGTAGCTCCCCCAAGCTTATCCAACAACTTAGCAATAGAAGGAATAGGAAATTTGTCTAGTCTAGTGATGTTGTTTAAAGCCCTATAGTCCACACAAAACCTCCAGCCATGCCATCTTTCTTTTTGACTAACAATACTAGACTAGAAAAAGGACTAGTACTGGGTTGTATGATTCCAGCTACCAACATCTCACCTAGCAACTTTTCTGTTTTGTTCTTTTGAAAATAGAGTTATCTTTATGGCCTAATATTAGGTGGTTGAGCTCCTTCCTTTAAAATTATTGCATGATCTTGTCTCCTATAGGGTGGGAGTCCTGTAGGCTGATCAAGCAGGGTGACAAATTCTCTTAGCACTGCTTCTACCCTTGGATCAAGCTGTTCACTTTGGTGTTCCTCCTTGTGAACTATGGAACAGAATTCAATTAAATACCCAATCCCTTCTTGCTGCAACGATTTGAGCATAACTTTTATAGAGACCACAGTTTTAACAAGAAAATGGATCACCCTGCAATGTCACTCGTCTCCCATCAACTTCAAACTTCATGATCGGACTTTTCCAATTAGAGCAAACAACCTTTAGAGAGCTCAACCAAGCTATTCCCAAGACTACATTGGCCCCTCCTAAATCAAAGGGGGAAAAAATCTTGTTTTACCTTAATCCCTTACATCTCCAGCCTTATTCCCCTACAAATCCCTTCACCCCTCACTGTAATCCCATTACCCACCATCACTCCAAAAGATGTAGTCGTTTCCACCTCTACCCTTAATTTATTCACTAGTTCATGGGAAATAAAATTGTGATGCCCCACTATCCACCAAAACTATANGGCTGATCAAGCAGGGTGACGAATTCTCTTAGCACTACTTCTACCCTTGGATCAAGCTGTTCACTTTGGTGTTCCTCCTTGTGAACTATGGAACAGAATTCAATTAAATACCCAATCCCTTCTTGCTGCAACGATTTGAGCATAGCTTTTAAAGAGACCACAGTTTTAATAAGAAAATGGATCACCTTGCAATGTCACTCGTCTCCCATCAACTTAAAACTTCATGATCAGACTTTTCCAATTAGAGCAAACATCCCTTAGAGAGCTCAACCAAGCTATTCCCAAGACGACATTGGCCCCTCCTAAATCAAAGGGGGAAAAAATCTTGTTTTACCTTAATCCCTTACATCTCCAGCCTTATTCCCCTACAAATCCCTTCACCCCTCACTGTAATCCCATTACCCACCATCACTCCAAAAGATGTAGTCGTTTCCACCTCTACCCTTAATTTATTCACTAGTTCATGGGAAATAAAATTGTGATGCCCCACTATCCACCAAAACTATAGCATCTTCCTCACCAATTTTTCCCTTATGCTTCAAAATTTTGTTGGAAGTAATCCCTACAATTGAATTCATGGAAACAACTATCGGGTTACCTTCTGGGTTCTGTTCTTCGTCGTTGTTGGCCGTAGCTTCTTCTCCTTCAGGTTCATCCTCTGCTATCACCAGCAATATGTGGAGTGATTTACTTTTGCACTTGTGGTTGGAGCTGAATTTCTCATCACATTTGAAACAGAGTCCCCTTTCTCTCTTGAACTGCAGTTCTGCCTCAATCAATCGTCTAAAATTATCTCCCTTGAAATTTGTCGTAGAAGCTTTGGCCGATTTCTCCTTTTTCTTGAATAATCGATTTTGAACTCCCGTTCCTTGTTTAGGGCTTCTAACTTGATTGGGCCCCCATCCTGGATGAAAGGTTTTTGGGCTTGGAGTAACTCTGGTGTAATTATTGATTCTTTCTGTTTGGGCTCCAATTCCCTTAAATTTGGACTTTTCAAGAATCCAATTCCTCTCTTCAATTCGGTGTGCATGGTCCATAAGTTCTAAAAGGATGTTGGGCCGGGTCAGGTGTAAATCTGCCCGAATCTCTTCCTTCAATCCATTGGTAAAAGTTCCCATTAACAAGTCTTCTCCAACATCTCATAGAGGACCAGCATGCATTTCAAATTGTTCACGAAACTCTGTTACCGTCCCCGTCTGCTTCAACGCAACCAGAGATTCGTACACCTATCCTTTGTACGATGGCCTGGATCTTTTTATCAACGCTGCTTTGAAGGCCCCCCAACTCTGGAAAGGAGCTCATGAGTCAACCCATTGACACCAGTTAAGGACGCGTCGCTCCAAACAAACAACAATAGCCTCCACCTTCTCTTCCCACTCAAACCGATTGACGTTGAAATACCAATTAGCTCGAAAAGCCCACCCATAAGGATCGTCGCCATTAAAAATTGGTAACTCCAGTTTCTTTGGCTTTCGATCCTCTTTACTGGTCTCACTTGTCCTCGACTGTCCTTGGCTACTATTTTCGTCATTGGGTCAATTCTTAGATGTATTGATTCTTCTCTTTTCACAATTTCTATTTTCTTCCCTCTTATCCTTTAATCGCATCCATTCTCGAGCTTCATGAGGTACTCTTTAATGCTTCCAATGTCTTCCTTAACACTACCCATATCTTTTTCCAAGCCATCGACTCTACCCTCCTTTCTTGTATTCACTATAACCCACACCGGCTCTGATACCAAATTACTAGAGTTTAACAGAGAAAACCAACCCAAATGCAAGACACAATGAATAAACTTCTGTAATTCTTTATTGATTTGTATTGATAAATGAAATAACATACTCTTCATGAACGCGAAAAGAAAAGCTAAAATAAAAGGATAACACTAGCCATTCGAGGTGCTAGGAATCACCCACTAAACATTCTCTCTCGTTACATAAGACTTTGCCCAATCTTATACCAGCTGTCCCTACACTATTCTTTCTTTGGTGCTGCCATGTGGCTACTCTACTAACAACCTCCTATTCACCAAAAGGGTCTAATAACTAATTATTCCCTTCCTCCTCCTGTAAACTTGTGGGGTGGGTCTTGGTGATCTATCAGATATTGAAGCAATTAATTATTTTGAATCCAGTGAAATAAGAGCATTGGTAAGGACACCCAACTTACATGATGATACTGTGAGGACTTGAAATTATTTATTTTAGTTATTAAGAGTGCTGTTCTCATATGATTGTTATAAACTTTATCTTTGTAAGATTTCCATTGGGTTAATTTGCCAAACATGAATTCATTTGCTTTGTAGATTCCATACCAAAGAAAGCATTGTACCAAAATATGTAGATAATTCTGCATTTGTGCCTCTACATGATGTTGATTTACAAGCTTTGCACCCTGACAATTAATTTGTAATAATGATAATCCTCCCATTGCTCATATCTATTTGAAGAAGAAGAGAAGGGCAGAGAGGCCATTCTGGCTATGAGATTTAGTTAAGAACAACTTGGTCCACGTGGCAGGTTTTAGAGAATCATTAGAGTGGGGCCAGAAGGGTGCATTTAGCTGGGAAGAATAGGTGGTTAGTGCTAAGTTGTTTTTTGGGATTGATTTGGGAGATCTCTAGCTTCTCGAATTGCTAGAACCATTTTTCCTTTCTGCTTGTTTTGCTTTTCTGTTTGCTTTCTAAGTTTTCATACTGCATTGCTACTGTAATTTTCCTTTGCTGATCAATATCGACTCCATTTCTTTTACTAAATTGTGTCCTTGTGAGTTGGTTGTTTGTTGGATAAATCGATATTGAGCAGGTTCCTATCAAATAACTAATCTGTTTCTTGCAACAAGTACCATTCTGATATTTTAGTATTAATCATTTGCTTTGCTGGCATTGAATAAGCATTTGACAGAATTTGGTCTGAAATGAATCTAGTCTGTCCATTAGTTTAAATCGAGTAGAAAGACTGTTGACTTGTTTGGAAATTAAATCCACCCTTAACCATCAATTTGTCTTAAGAAATCTGGATGATAGCTTGTGAGCAATCCTATCGTATTTCTTCCAGTATACAATGTTTTGTGTAGTTTCGGTAGGTAATCTACATAATGGCACTGTAACTCAATGTTAAAGGGGTAGAGTGGGAACTTTAAATTGTTTGGTCTGAAAGTGGTTGTATCTCCGAGATGGAGAATACTAATAGAACATTTCAAAAATTGCATGATAAGTGATCAGCTCCTCCTCTTTTGTACGTTGGTTGTGCAGCTGATGTTCAAGTAAAAGTTACTTGGGGTTCTTTGGGAAATTGAGCTTGTAAACGTGGAAGATATATGGGCTACAGAATCATTTTCTGGTTGGGGTTTGTCTTATTATTTATTTTTATTTTTTAAGTAAACAAGCAGATGAATTATCATTGGGTGGAAAAATTATTCTTTTATTACCATTGAATAACTTTTCATGATTGTGTCATCATCTTAGCAAAATTAAAAAGCGTTTGTCCTCAATCACCAGAACTCATGTCTTTATGCTGCCTTGCTTCTTGTACCCAACGTTGTGACTAAAGGTTTTGGTTCTAGTTTGTGACTGGTTCATATTGCATCATTGTCTCAGCCTAACTCATGGGAAAGGCTATTTCTTCAGTTCTATGTCAAGTCAACTGAATGCCTAGAAATAGAGGCTGTAGTGGGTCCTCTTATGCATTCATTGCTCTTTCTGAGTTCAAATGCAAGACTTATTAGTTGTAGTTGTGAAGATGATAATTGTATTGGCTGCTATGTTCAGGTCCAAATATGGTGTTCGCACTTGGTGAATTCAGTATATCTGGTGAACCGATCTTTCAAATGTTAATTGGATTGAAACCTCAAAAATGAGCACAATCTGTTTATTAAACAAGTAAATATGACAAGACCTACCTAACCCGATGGATAAAAATGTTGCATCAATTTTATGTGATTAGTTGACATGAAATTGATCCAATCAATATATTTACATATATTTTATATCAATTTTTGTAATTTTAGTTCCATAGATCATTTTAATTAATTATTAAAAAGCCTTTTATTGAAATAAAATATATATGGTTAAAATTGGTTATAGAGGTTGGATTATTGAAAGGCTGTTATGACAAATAGTTATCTTTTCTATAATTGATCTATTTGATTTAGATAGGTCAATCTAAACTCAACTAGTCAAGTTATTGGATTAAGTGGTTCAAAGATTTCTACCCAAAAGATGATGAATGGAAATTCAAACCGATATCTTTGTGTGTCCGTTGATCATTATGTTTCCTAAGAAGATGTTAGATATGTGATTTTTCGTGGAAATGTAAAAAATACAACTTTTGTGTGTCCATGATGCCCATCAATGGTAGATTATGCTTCTTTAAGAACTCTTCAGGAAAATACTTATGCAATTGATGCTTGGATATGCCTAAAGATAAATTGAGACATACAGGAGCTTGATTTTGAATTAGTTGTGATGGAGTCGGTTATACTATTCCTAAAAGGAATGAATTGGTGTACTTGGTCTTGTCTAAATGAATAAGCCTTTTATGCATAACCTAAATGGTTGTCTTATTTGTATGTCATATAGCTGAAAAGCTCACAGCCGGTTTAATGTGTTTGTGATGTGACAACAGATATTCAAGGCTGACTTCAAGTGTCCTCCTTGGTTCTCGACAAGTGCAAAGAAACTAATCACTAGAATCTTGGACCCTAATCCCATGACGGTACTTCTTTCTTGTACTTAACATTAAATGTTTATTTTTTTCTGATGATATATTTTTTCTTTTTTCTATTGAAAAGGTTGGAGACCTTGATGTTCTAATTTGCATCTTTTGTTAGTTTGTTTGTCTACTTATGAATTGACTGAAAATGCTGATGGTTTGAAACAGCGGATAACAATAGCCGAGGTTATTGAGAATGAGTGGTTTAAGAAGGGGTATAAGCCACCTACTTTTGAACAACCTGCTGTTAGTCTTGATGATGTGGATGCTATCTTTAATGAATCGGTGGTAAGACTTGTGTTTTGCATATATATCATATATATCATGCTGGTGTTATATTAATGTAATGGGTTTCTTAGTGGTTCATTTTTATTTTTGTAAAAAGGATTCTCAAAACTTTGTTGTGGAGAGACGAGAAGAAGGACCTGTTGCCCCTGTGACAATGAATGCGTTTGAGCTCATCTCCACATCTCAGGGTCTCAACCTCAGTACCCTTTTTGAAAAGCAAATGGTATGTTTAAAACTTGAGCTTGGTGATTAAGTTAGCAGATGTGCAAGAAACATCAAAATCTGATATTTGGAAGCATTTGTGTGTAAAGCCTCTCAATTACATTACTGAGAAGATGATGCTAACCTTACTATTGTGATATGTAGATACACTATAACTGCTTCTTAGGATATGATTTGATATTGGAGTGTGTTTGATAGATACCCATCTAACAACTCAAACAATTGGGCTGGGCATTAAGCCTTTTGTGGGCTTGGGTAGAACTCTTCTTGGAAAACCGCCTTGTCAAGGGAGGGTGACCAAGCCCTTAAGAGACCCATGGCCCAACCGAATTGTTTGAGTTGTTGGGTTGGGTTCCTATCAGGCTGACCTTGGGTTCGGGTTGTTACCCCGAGAAAGGGCATGTAGGCCTGAGGGAAAGGGGATCCACATAGTCACCTAAGGGGTAAAGAAGTCGACGGGAGTAAAAAAGCCGACGTGGACGTCGGTTGTGAAAGCTTGATGGAATGCTAAGATCTCACATTAGAAGGGAAAAGGGTGGGCATGTGGGTTATAAAGGGTTTAGGCACCCTCTCTTGACAAGCCGGTTTTCCAAAGAGAGTTCAACTCAAGCCCACAAAAGGCCTACTGCCCAGCCCAATTGTTTGAGTTGTTAGATGAGTATCTATCAGTGTTCATAAACATGAAACTGCAACAGCTGACATTTTCTTTGGTGACAGGGACTTGTTAAACGGGAAACAAGATTTACGTCCAAATGTTCTGCTAATGAAATTCTAGCAAAAATTGAGGAAACTGCAACACCCTTGGGTTTCGATGTGAAGAAAAATAACTTCAAGGTCCTTTCTTTCTTCCCTGCCTTGATGCACAATGTTTCTAGCAATATTCAGAATGGATAATTTATTGTCAAGTATTAATTAATGCAATTTAGCCCAATAATGGAAATCAAACTGAAGAATCTACTTGTTCTTCTCAATGCAGACTGTTACTTTTGATTTTCTTCATTGGAAGAAATATTTTAGTGGACTTATTGGACCTTGTTTGCACTTGAGTTAGGCTTCCTTTGTGTCCTTGTAATGTATCTTGTTAGTAGTGGATGACGTGGTAGTTCTCTCCAGTATAAGTGGGCAATTATAACCATACATGGGAAAACTTATAGTTTTGTGAGGCTTGTTTGCTAAAATATAATGTCATTTGGTTTGAAAACTTTTAAATTTATATAATAAGAATTAAGTAAGCATTGTTCTACTACTTCTGGTGAAATCTTCTTTTTGTATTCATCTCAGATGAAGCTTCACGGGGAAAAAACTGGACGAAAGGGTCATTTATCTGTTGCAACAGAGGTATACTTTTTCATTCCTTTTTATGAAGGGAATCTGTCCTTTAAAAATGCGCAACTACATCAATCTAAATCGGTTGTATGATTTTCGGGATGATTCTACTTTTCCAGGTCTTTCAGGTTGCCCCTTCACTCTATATGGTTGAGCTTCGAAAGTCTGGAGGCGATACTCTAGAATTTCACAAGGTATGGTTATTGTAATGTGAAATTCTTTCAGGCATTTTACAACATACACATTAAACATTTTGTTGCAAGTTGCAGAATAATTTTCTTTATTACTAATTAGCTTTGATTTGTCTTACGAACAGTTCTATAAGAATCTCTCCACTGGGCTGAAAGATATTGTCTGGAAGTCAGGAGATGAAACAATTGAGGAAGGATCCGCTGGTTAGTATACTGTTGTGGTATTAAGCACATTTGTTTGAAGATGTTACCATTCCGCTATTGATAATTATCAGTCAGTTACTGCAGCATTTGTTTATGCTCATCACCAGGGCCAAACATTATGACTAAAACTAAATTTTTGTTCCTTTAAAGAGTTTGGGAATCATTGGACTGATGGCCCAGTTATTTCTAATGTCATTTATTTTGAACTCATGAGCAGGTAGTAACCAGAGAATAAATGGATTTAAATGTAGCAATGCTTTTGAGGAAAAATGAACATGAAAATATAAGAAAACAAAAATGAAATTGTGTTGAATGAAAACGTCACAGGGTTTATGTGGATCAGGGAACTTTTGTTTGTTAGTAAGAACTAATCGGGTTTTCAAAATGAGATTATGGCTCAACCTGGATTTATGCATATAATGTTTTTCCAACCTTAAAATTGAATTTTAAGGCATCAAGGTCTTGACTGATACATTATTTTTTATGGTTGCATTTCTACAGATGCTGGCTCTGCGTCTTCTCAGTAACAGGTTTCCGTTGGCTATATTCATTACATGCGGGTCCTTTTTATTTAAAACTCAAAATATCAGTTATTCAACCAATGATATCTGGCTTGCCCTGTTGTATCTGTAGCTTTGTATTCACCTCATAAATGTTCTTCCTTCACATGAGCTTGTTTTTCATTTACCTTTGGCTTGGTGTGGTTTATATGCTAAATGTATAATTGCAATACACCATTTACAAATACACGCACATATGCGCTCAATAAAGGAATTTGTCTTTCAATCTTTGATCTGTTAAGTGAATGGGGTACAAAATTCTTCCTTTGGTTTCTTTAGTGGTTTATTTTATTTTTCTCTCTGTGAAAAATCAGTATTAAACTTATCCACTTCCTTCACAAAATATTAAAAATGCCTCTATCAGGGTTTTAGATAATTTTGTAAGGTGATCTTTGATATATTTTAGGGCGTTTTTAATACTTTCAAATGAAATGATGAGTTAATGGAAAATAAAATTAACCCTTTCTTTGGTAGAACATACTAGAAAGTTCAATTTTGTCTTTTCGAGGTCTTTCACCATGAAACATTATATATATATACGTACTCCAACAATTCCTTAATATTAGATAAATCATTTATGACCAGAATTTTGGAATAATTTATTTATCTTTCCACAAATATGGTCAAAATTTATAAACAAGATGCATTTTAATGTTGTATGGTTATTTATCTAATCAAGGTTAGATTAATTCTTAATGAAGATGGTGATTTCCTAATTTTCTTATTAATTTTTATCTCAATTTCCTCCATTATTTTTCCAATTGTCGAAAATCATACAAATTATCATGATGTTCAAGCCATTGTTTTAAAAACCGGACCGGAGGGCAAACCGCTTTGATGGTCAGGTCACGGTTCTACCGGTCCAACCGGTTAGACTGCTGATTGAACCGGTGACATCATCACACATCATGATGATGTCAGCACATTTTTAAAAAAACAATTTTTTTTTTAGATTTTTATTTTTCAATAAGACAATAACAACTTAATTACTGTCCAACATGATTCAAAGTTTAAATTCAACAATAATCTTAACATAATTTAAGTATTTAACAACAATTCAAAGTCCAAATCCAAACATTATGTTGTATTTATATATCAAATGACAAAATACATAACAATTAATAACAAAACATTTGATGCAAGTGTTTTTTCTTTGATCCGTCTCTATGTTGATTGAGCTTCACACACTAGCATCAAAATTCATCATCATCATCACCATCATCATCATCATCATAACCATCACCACCATCTACGTAAATTTTAGTAAAAAATAGTAATCATAAGTTAAAACTTGTAATTTAATTTAAATAGATACTGAGTTGTTTAAATAATTGAAACCAACCTTCTGAACCATCGGTTGAATCATAAAAAGAAGGCTGATCAGCAACTCTAGTAGGAATAGATCCTTCTCCATATAACATTTGTTCCAACTCCTCATAATTCAGTTCACTGACCTCCTCCTCCTCTTCATCGTCAACTATCCAACCTTCAGTTTTGTCGATACTTTCATAATTAATAGGATCTAAACTTATTCTCTTGTAACACTTCCTAAAATACCATAAAGAGATATTAAAAGCATTACAACTAAAATATCAAGGAAAATAATAGATAATAACAATAAGAGTGATGCATAATTGAGTAATTGACAATGTTTTATATCTGTTTTGCAAACGCAAGTTATAGTGAACGAAAACAAGATCATTCAACCTTTGATGCTCCAACCTATTCCTCTTTTTAGTATGTATGCGCTCAAAAACACTCCAATTTTGTTCACATCCCGAAGAGCTTGAAGTTTGACTAAGAATTTTTATTGCAAACTTTTGCAAATTTGGAGTATTATACCCAAATGATTTCCACCATTCATCTAATTGAAAATTAAACATAATAAATAAATTAGACTTAAAAAACAAAAGAACTTATAAATTTTATAACTATTACGTACCAGGACGTGTGGTTTTGGCGGTTTCAAGAGCAAGCCCGCAAGAAAAGCTTTCCCCCCGATTTGAATATAATCTACTCTCTTCCATTAACCTTGTCTTGTTCAAATTGAAAGCACTTGCTTTACTGTCAATAGTATCAAGGAAACCACTCATGACTTCTGGCTTGAGGCAAAAAGATTGTTCGTCATACTTAAAGGCAGGATTCAAATAATAAGCCGCATCATGGATATCACAATGCAACGTCCTATCCCAACGTAGCTTAATGATTCTTGTATAAGGCTTGTACAATCTCTTTTTATTCTTAAACAACTTCTTAATTGCATTTTTTGCTCTGTACATGCCATCATACACATATCCTATTGCTGGCTTCTCATCTGAGTCAACAATCCTCAACAAGCGCATCAATGGACTCACAACTTTGGATATCTTACCCATATCATCCCAAAAATCGTTATCCATAATTATGTCAATAACATGTTTGCCTTTATTACTTTTTGCATATCGAGAATCGACCAATGACCTATTTGTCACCATGGCTTGCAAGTCATGTTTGTGCTCATGAATGCTCTCAGCTATGTCTTTTAACACCAAATTTATGCTATGTGCTGCACAGGGTGACCAGTAATACTCGGATATTTCTCAGACAACATTCTTCCAGCAGCTTTGTAATTGGATCCATTGTCTGAGACAAAATGGACAATCATATTGTCCAATCCATAAAGCTACCTCCTCAACATCTTCAACAATGTCCCAGCATCTTTCACAACATCTAAAGCATCAACTGATTTCACAAAACAAACTCCCTTAGGACAATACACCATAAAATTGATCAATGACCTATGTGAATTATCAGTCCAACCATCAGCCATTAAGGTACATCCAACATTTTCCCAAATCTTTCTGTAATTATCAACAAGAAGCTGCACTTCCTTCTTAGCATCTCTTAACAAATTGACACCAAAGCATGATAATTTGGGTGTTTATACCCAGGCCCATTGCAGCTATAGCATCCACCAAAGGTTGAAGTAAATTGAATTCACAGCATTGATGGGATGCAAGCATCATAAAAGAATCTTCCAAAACCATGTCTGCTCTCCACGTTGCATCTTTTCTAGCTAAACAACTCCTAATTGATGGTTGAGATCCACCAATTGTCCTTGGAGCAAAATAGTCACCAACCCCAATAGATTTGTTTCTCTTTGATTTGTCTAACATGTACTTTGTTTTTTACTGCCAAACCTACCTCATTTATGTCAATTCCTGATGGACGAAACCTTCACTATCTTCATTTAATATATCTCCCTCAAATCCATGTACGGGACACCGTAGGGAGTATATAACTCTAGAATCAGTCTTCTCTTTTATTCTTTATCCCAATGTCTTTTAGTGATTCTCTCATGGAGTATGAATATCAAAAGGAACCTTTTTACAAGCACCAACATCCCCCTTTGTTCCAGCTAGATGTAGTTTCATTCTAAAATACCCCCTCCTCTAGTTACTTTCCCACAGTGAAGACATCTTAATGTCTTCCTTCCATTTGGATCTACACACTCAATAACATGTGCCCATGTTATATCAGCCTACCTCACTAGATTGTGAAGAAGACTCAGAGCTAGATGTTACCATTGTCTATTTTTAATCTTTTCTGCCTATCACACAATAAATTGCAAACAAAGAATCACTAATCACGTATTTGTGTTTGCATTTGAATTTTGTAAACAGTAAAAACAAACACACCAGGGCTCTGAATGACTAGTGCATGAAGTACTATTCATCCATAAAGCACCAAAAAAATGACTGTATTCAATAATAATGACTTCTGTGTTGGTAAAGCCAAAGAGCAAAGATGCAATCATTAAAGTGAATTAATATCAGTTTACTAATTTCATGACTGCCCATTTCACTTCTGATTAAGTTCTTATAAATATTAATAAATTAAATTGATTCTTGGAATCCCAGAATTTCATGGAAGCCAATCATGGAAGCCGTGTAACATTGAAAATTATCAAAAAAATTCTGACAAAGTCTCTGAAAATTAATATATGCTTGCTAGTTAGCTTTATAGTTGGCTTATGTTTATATGCTGTAAACAGCTAGCTTAAATATCTCTTCTGCATCAATTTTATTATTTTATGTGTACTTTTTATATATATCATATGATCCCTTTTATAATAATATGATCCATAATTATGTATCTTTATAATTAAGTAGCTGGTTTCAGTTCATACTGTAACCTCTCAAACTCGTTTCTTGTCAATAAGAAATAAAAAAATAGAAAGAATGTGCTAAGTGGGTTCCTTTGTATAGTCAAATTTATTTGTTTCTTGCCAACTTCCTTTTTGAAATCAAGAACAATTTCAGAATCTACTTTTTATTATATATTTTATATTAATGTATGTTTAAGTAACATGTGCTGAATTTTCAAAAAGTCAATACTCGAAACATATTTTTTGTGCTAATAATTCTGATTTGTTCGGTGACTTCTCTGATAGAAAACTATTAATAGTTTTCAATTAATTTTTCTGAGAATTTTTTAGTAGTTAATTAATTATGATTAAGTATATGTTTCAATTTCATTATAGGTTCATGCATTGTGTAAAGGATTTTCCCCAGATTTGAGTAATACTAAAACAAAAATGCAAGTTTGAATGCTGCCTATAATGTTTCTCACATTCATTAATAAATCAAATCATTAGTTGTAGTTGGTAGCATCCCCACATGCCATAGATGAATGGCAGAGTAATACAATTGAACAATCTGAGGATGGATGGCTTGTCACCATTTCTAACAAAGTTTGAAGTTTTTCACGTTGGCCACGGCCACCACATCACTTCTACTGCCGTTGTAAGAACCATGTCATTAAATCTACTTTAATTAATAATGAACCTTTACTTTATTTAACTTAAGCTTTGCTGTCCTTGAATATATATTCCATTTTGTAACATCTTCCAAATTCTAAATTAACCATCCAATTACTCTAATCATATTTTAAGACTTGCTCAACAAACCCACCCTAAATTTAGAAAGAAAAAAAACCCCATTACATAAAACTTTATTCTGTTGAACACCACTCAATCATCACCACATATTTTTCATATCTTGTTAATCAATTCATCAATTATTTATCTTCTTCAACCGTCTTAATCCCTAAGAATCCTCCTCATCATCTCCTCCATTTCGCTTCAATATAAAACACATCAAACTTTCCCATCATGCATGAATGAACCCCCCATCGATAGTAATTTAACACTTGTTTTTCATTTTTATTTTTTATATCTAATTGTTAAGTTTTGCAAACTTT